CATGACACGATTGCCCATCCAAGAGAGGCCATGTTCTATAGAATTGTGTCCGGACTGCCTAGAATGTTGCCTCTGATTTATAACTGCAGATAAAGGTTACACCAGAAGCGTTTCAAACTCCTAGAACATGGATTCCCCGGAGAGAGTTCTTGGAAACTTCTGCTCATTGAAAGCCATCAAAGTGTCAACTGAAAGGTTATGTTTTTGTTCTCAAAACTTCTAAGGAGGCTGAAAGTCAAGCAGAAGTAAACTCTCTACAAGATATAAAATGACTGTGCCCAGATAGCAGAACGATTGGCTGTGTCTATAGGTATCCCCCAATCAGCACAGAAATAGGGATTGATAGGGGTTTAACCAAGTCAAAAGACAGCCAATGTCTAAATCAGCAGACTGCATTAAAGGAGAACTATGGGGTCAGTGTTTTTCCCCATAGTTCTCCTTGGGGTAACGGGAGGACACAAACTAGCGTCCTCCCGTCACCCTAAGCTCAGTATACCGTGAGCTACAGCTCGCGGTATACTGAGACGCCGCACCTGGAGCGGATCCCGACTTAGATGACGGGATCCGCCCAGCTGCGTGAGTGACAGCTGGCTCTGCCTATCTAGAGGCAGAGCCAGCTGTACCCGCCCCCTCCTCCAGTCAGCGCTGGCCGATCGGAGTGGGGAATCCAGCCCCTCCCCCTGTCACGGCAGCGAGCCGTGACAGGATCGAGAGGTGAGCGAACCCGGTATGTGTTCCCTCACCTCCCGATCTACTGAGCCGACCTGTGACAGTCTCATTGTCACAGGTCGGCTTAGAACTAGGAGGTGAGTGGAAATCACTCATGTCATAGTTCTCCTTTAATCCCTCTTATCTCGTGGAAAACAAAACAGTATGATCACAGACTAAATGTAAACAGATCAGTAAATGCACAAGTAAATATTTCATATGCTCCTCAGCTCCATCTAGTGGCCACAACATAGTGTTCTCCTGATGTTACATTCAACCTGTAAAGAGAATATACCAACGCTCGTTTTTGCCTCTATTTGCACAGAAGCGTACACGCAGGGCAAATGGCTCCGCATTCATTTTTTTTTAAATACACCCCATAAAGTTGCCTGGGTTTTTTTTGCTGGCAGAGCGCAGATTTAAAAAGGAACTGCATCTAAGGACCTCTTACATAGAGTGGGTCAATTTGTAAACAAATGATTAGGAGCTAGTTATTGGACTTGAATAAAACCAGAAAATCAGCATAAGCTGACATTTTTGGACCACTCACACTACTCTATGAAGCACCACTCCGTTTATACATGGGTTGGAACTTACACACGGTTCTAGTTTCTTCCTTCAACCTGCAGGCCGAACAAAAGAAAAATAGAACAGATTCCTCCATCAACACCCATGAGCGTCAACTGAGGAATCCCCCGCTGTTCTCACAGTATTCTGAGTGGCTGCCAGAATACCAGAATGAAGCTTATAGCTGATTGGCTGATACCTTTGGCAGATAATTTTTCGACCTGTTCCTTTAATCAGGGAGCCAACAGCGGCACTCACACGGGGAGCCGGCTTCTCGGCCAATCGGGAATCTGCGGGTAACAAGTCGCAGCCCAGCTTACTGATTGCCCAGGAAGCTGGCTCAATGTTCCACTACAGCATTGCCGGTCAGAGAAAACCTTCTGGGACCGGAAGTTCCAGTATCGGAGCAAATACTCGGTATCGGCAGACACTAGTATAGATAAATCGGTGCATTCCGGAACGGACAGGGGAGGGGGCGGGTACAGCTGGCTCTGCCACTAGATAGGCAGAGCCAGCTGTCACTCACACAGCAGGGTGGATCGACAGTAATGTCGGGATCCGTCCCAGTTGCGGCAGTCTCAGTATACCACGAGCTGTAGCTCGCGATATACTGAACTTTGGGTCACGGGAGGACGCTAGTATATGTCCTCCCGTAACACTGAGAACTATGGGGAAAAACCCTTACCCCATAGTTCTCTTAACAATCCCACAATAAGGAGGCAGCAAGTCTTTTATGCCATACAGTCTGTACAAGTAACCTTCCAAAACAGTGCTAGCTATGCATTGGCTGATTTGTTTGGTCTAAAAACGTTGATAATGTCTAATTAATATGGATATAAAATGCCAGAATATACATGAAAATATATGTACTGCCTATTTTAAGTCAACCAAATGAGTACCTCCACCACTGCATTATAATAAACGCACAACACCCAACTATAGTGTTCTTGCAGCAGAATATTTGAAGACAGTAATACACTAAGCTGTCCAGTTTGAAGCCAACTGACATGAGCACTTCAGGACATAACCTTTCCACCAGTCCCCGGCACCTGTGTCCCGGGATGAATCCTTTAGCTTACATGGTGCATGCACATTTCATTTTGTTTGGCAAGTGACTTGTTTTCTAAGATTCTTAATGTTCAGACCCCAGGGGAAATGTGGTGCATTGTACAATACTAGAAAATATTTTTCACGATAACCAGGCCCATTTTGTTTTTGAGTACATCGCCGCAGAAAACCATACCACCCAGATTACACCCATATATGCTCCTCAGGAAGATACATTTTGTCCAACACAGGGAACGTTAACCTGGGCCGCATCACATTAAGCCGGCATAAATACCTGCGCACATCAGACTGCCCGCTACGATTATAGGGCAATAAACCTAAAACTGATGCTTCACTTTTGCTAATAAACCAATTGCTCCGCTGGTTTCTTAACAACTCGAGCTGTAACAACTCAATGCCGCTTTCCTAAAACCCCACCAACAGTTCTACTGCACCCAGTCCTACGTCATTCCAATGCGATAAGGATGTGTTCTGTTACCCTAATTAAGTCAATGACTGACAGGGCAGGAAATTCTACCAGTCAGCAATTCTAAAAAGGGAAATTACAATTGGCTTGCTAACTTTAAAAACAAAAAAAATAACTCCAGGGATTTTATTAATCAGGGTTAACTGCAAGGGTTAACTGCTTGTTTTGGTCTAGGGAGGAAAATAAAGTTACTCACCTGATCTTTGGAGCCGGCTTGCTGTTAGACTCGTCCATGGAGCCTCTCTCCCCCCCTCTCACATTCTATACACAGTGTACTGGAGTGGAGGAAGCCGAGAGACATACCATCAGTGAAGCAGAGGAGAGACAGGCTTCAAGGAGCACTATGACAGCCGCCCAGCTCCAAGAATCAGGCGAGTATAACTGTTCTTTTCCTTAGACCAACACGAGCACTTACCTTTGCAGTGCAGTAGAGCTACCCCCCAAGGGTTAATAAACCATTTACCCAGAGTTCTACTTCAATAAAAAAACAACCCAGTAGAAATTCAGAGTTAGGACTTACCGGTAACTCTATTTCCATTAGTCTTCCAGGACAGCATCACGAGATGGAATCTCCTCCCCCACACTCAGCCCAGCAAAGTGGATTGCAGTTGAAGATTCAGCAGAGCAGACTCCCTCTTTATTCTATGTTGTGTAGTCATTAAACTGCCAAATAAAGCCGTGTCTACAGAGGCCCTGCTGTGGGTTTCATAGGATGAACAAAACCCAAATAAAAAGCCTCTCATTTAATCTGGTCCACAAGCGAAACCTAGCAGGTACAAAAACCAGTAGGTATTAGGATGGACCTCTGAAATATTCCATGTAGAAGCATTTAGAGCATACAATGCATATGGGCACGATGAACAAAAGTGGACAATCAGAAACCAACCCTGATTTTCTGGGGTTAAAAATCATCCTGTTGTGCAGGGAAGACATCACGGATTTTTTAGTCGTCTTCTAACATGAACCCATCAGAACCCAAAACACAAAAGGACAATCGGTTGTGCTGTACACATGGCTTCACAAGAGGACAGCTGCAGAATAGCACACAACTCGCCATGATCTGCAAAATGCATTAAATTGCTTCTAACATGTAGGTGTGTGAATGAGACTGGTTGTGCGCATTCTCTGACGCCAAGCCTGGATACTAAATTGGCACATTGAAGCTAAACCTTAGCTTTCCTTCAAGCTGTGTCTCTGCCCTAGGACTCATCCAGGGAATGAGAATGGCAGCTCCTCACATAGGCATCCTGCTTTCTATTTCCCTTTAAGGTTTCAATACTAGTGTTATGCATAAGACACAGCAGGACTTACCTTGAGCAATCACCTCATCGATTTTCTTGCCTTTCAGCTCATTGATTACCTAAAGGGGAAAAAGGAAGGGGAGGGGTGTTATTCTATTTTCTCTCATTTCATTTATCTTTAACAGATATGCAAGAGGCAATAACGGCATTGCTGTTTAGATGAAAGATGTGATTGCTGAGTGTTTGTAAACAATTGAGTATGTTTACTGTGTCCAATTATGAATGAATGGGAAGTGATCTACATCACCTCCTGCTCATTCATGATTGTGGTTATAATAAACATGCTACCACGAGTTATGAATGAACAGCAACACTCAGTATAGAGGATTCCTCTTCATTGATAACAGGGGATGAGACCGAGAGATTGAGGACTCTGTGTCCTCAATCTCTTTTCCTATTTTAGAAGCGAAATATCAGGGATCTGTTTAGACCCCTAATATTTCCCCAAAGCCCCTAAAAGTAAAATACACAAACATTTAATAAAAATAAAATTTACTTTATTTTAAAATGTTAGAGGGAAAAAAAAAAACATTTGTCTGACATTTTTATTTTTGAAAATGTCATTTGGGTGCACCTCTCAGAAAGTCAAAATTGCTGTAGGCGTTTTCCACAAGAACCAGTTACTACAGTTATCAGTGACTCATACAAACTTTGTTAAAAAGCTGTACATAAATAAGCAGGGATGATTACATCCTTGTCAAAACCTTCAGCTCTGAATAAAGTTGGGAAGGCTTATGACCTTGGTCTGGTTTCTATTGCACAGTGGTTTAGTGGTTAGCCCTTCTGCCTTGCAGCACTGGAGCGCTCACTTCAAGTCCTGGTCGGGACACCATCTGCAAGGTGTTCATATGTTCTCTCTGCGCTTGCGTGGGTTTCCCTCTCTGCGCTTGCGTGGGTTTCCCTCTCTGCGCTTGCGTGGGTTTCCTCCAGTTACTTCAGTGTTCTCCCACACGCCAAAGACATGCTGGTACCTTACTTGGCTCCTGTCTAAATTGCCCCTAGTGTTTGTATGAATACATGTCAGATAGGAGCCTTAGATTGTAAGCTCTTTGAGGGCAGGGACTGATGTGAATATTCAGTACCGTATATACTCGAGTATAAGCCGTCCCGAATATAAGCCATATAAAGCGCTGTCTGAATGGTCGGTGAAATAAAAACACCTGCAATAAAAACAAACAAATTGTTGCACATGGTCCCTGTTGAGATTCATTCTTACTTCCTGTTCTGCCAATTAAAAGCGGGGGAGATGCAAGATTGCACAGCTGTCACCAGGACAGGCGAGGGGGAATCTCTGAATGTAGACACCCCTTCCAGTGACACTTCCCATTGTTCTGGGACAGAAAGTGAAGCAAAATCTCTCCAGCGGGGACGTAGCAACAAGAATCTGGCTGTAGTTCTTATAGGGATATTACAAACGTTTCTCAGACATTTCAAATGCAGATTAAATCACTTAGAATAGATGACACTTGTTTAAAAGTTTTAGTTTCCTGCAGAATCGGCTGATTTCTGCAGGAATCCTGAGCACTGATATCCTGTTTTAGGGTGACTCCTTTCCCTTACAGGGTCCTATAGATCCACTCTTGTGTGCACTAGCAAACTGTATGCATCTTCGTGAACAGACACGGCAAGGCAAGCTACCCCCCCTTCCTCCAAGTTAGTAGATTGACATCTGTCCCTTTATAATCTTGTACTTGTTAGGACAAGTATAGGAATTTTATAAATAAAACCCTTAACATGTTAATACTCTTGTGCCCAACGGTGGTGTAGAAGCGCTGACTTGTAACCTTGGGTTCACACCCAGGCGGATTGAATATGCGCGTTTGTCGCGCCGCGAGTTACTACGATTCGCGGTAAAAAAACGTGCAACAAACGCGCGTTTCCGAGGGCTAGTTGGCGGTTTCCCAATGGAAGCGCCCAACCAAAACGCCCCAAAGAAGTACATGTACTTCTTTGGGCGTAGGGCGGTTTCCTGTGCGTTCGGACTCGGGGAAAAAAACGCCCAGATGGGAACCATGCACATTGAAAATAATGGCATTTCCCTGTTTGAGCGTTTTTCCGCGAGTACGAAAGCGCGGAAAAACGTCCAGGTGGGAACCGGGCCTAAAAGGTACTATAATGACTGTGCTACAACTAAGGGTTGAATCGTGCCCGATACAGGGCATTTTGACAAGTACTTGCGCTATGTTTTTTTTCTTTTTCTTACTTACAACCAGCTAAATTACAACCTCACCTGGAGCTCCTCCCACCGGACCAGCGCTGACTCGTCGCTGCTCTCTCCAGCAATAGATTTACAATTCTCCGCTGCTAACATGAATAGGTTAAATCATGATCCATAGTACAGAACATGTAGTTGTACTATGGATCATTTAAAGTCACCTTTCCCTTTAAGAAAAAGTATCGGTAATTGGTATCGTCAAGTACATGAGGGGAAGTACTGGTTGCTTAGTGAAGTCTCTGGCGGAAGCTTTACCAAGCACTGAGGTTCGAGCAGCGGGATTGGAGACCAGAAGGTAGAGCTGCTCCATGTTTCCTAATTGCTGCAATAACTGTGGTCTCTAGCAGTCTCATGTAATGCGACTCAGGCTATGACTGGAGACAAGAAGGTAGAGCTGCTCCATGTTTCCTAATTGCTGTAATAACTGTGGTCTCTAGCAGTCTCATGTAATGCGTCTCCAGGCTATGACTGTCAACGAACCACCTCAACACCACCACATAGGATGTATGCAGCCTGACCAGCCCCTCTTGTGTGATCAGTATATCTGACTTCAAGTACCATTACATTCACTGAATAGCATGTGTGGCCCCTCTGGTGATGTCAGGGGCCGCACTTCAGGCCCCCTTATCAAATAAGATGACAATCACGGCTTTGAAAGCTTTTTGCACTTTAGAAACAGCTCAGGTGATTTAATATTTACAGACATTTTTTTCTTCTTTTTCTGCCTTTCAAGAGCCTTGTATTGTTTTTCCACTGAATTCAAAAGTACAGTAAACTCTGTTATCCGGTATTCAACTAACCAGAACTCTCATCTAACCAGAAAACAAAAAGTCCCGTGTACTTATTGTTCTGCTGATCTGCGGTATGTATTATCCTGGAAGGGATCGGGTGTCTATTTGTCTTCATTTGCTTTTGATTTCTGCATTTCAATACTAATATGAAGTCAATACAGAGTTTATGTTATGGTATAATATGGGGTACGGCATTAGACCCATTTTTAATAACTCTCAAGCAACCAGAAACATTTATTCGGAATCTACCAATCCCTGTGGATGCCAGATAACGGGGAGTTTCCTTTATTTAGATTGGATGAGATCCAAGGGGTTTACCTTCTCGGCACGCTCCTTGTCCAGCTCAATGCCAACGCTGTCTAGAATCTTCTTCAGGTCAGCGATTGAAGGGCTGTCATTACCGCCGAGCACAGCCAAAAGATAGGAGGCTACGTAACGCATCCTGTGTGGGAGAGAAGAAGTTCTATTACCTATTAAGAAGTCTTAGAGGACAAGTCTGTTTCTATTCGGATCGAAACTTTTAATCACTTGGCCAAATTTTGGTCCATATTAAAGCTGAAAGCCCCTCGACCACCCGCAGCCTCCTAGGTCACCCATCTCACATCCCAGGAGACGATGAGGGTAGAATATATCAAAAGTGGAGCAGACAGATTCTGGAATCTGGAGCAGTTGTCCAATCAGCAACCAATCCGCTTCTATCTTTAATTTTTAAAGCTTAAATGTACAAACTGAAGAGAGAAGCTAATTGGTTCCCAGGAGGAATTGCGCCCGATTTTTGGCTGCTCCAGTCTTAATAAATTCCCTCCAATGTTTCAGCATGTGACCTCACTTATACCATCCCGGAGACCTGTGGTATGTCTGCACAAACGTGAAATCTTGTACAGACCCGCACTGTGGGATCTCATTGAACACGAGTTTAAAGATGGTGGCACTGGGCAGTGCAATGAGAACTTCAACTGCAAGGAAGACAATACTGGACTCAATAGACCAGTACGCATGTTTTTTTTCTTCTCCATACAGGGCTAGGTATTAAAGAGATAAAATGTAGTTACCCTGAGAAGAGTGACGTTCCTTCTGGGTTAGCTTATATTTAGCCCCATTTCCAATAACATCCTCCATGCATTCCGGCATCTCCAGCACATTACACAGCATTGATCAGATGTTACACAAAAGTGCTCCTTGTGCATTTCAAACATATAGGCCCCTTAAAAACTCTAAGGCCCCTTCCACACTGGATCTAGTGCGTTACCATGCGGCTGGTAATGCAAGGGCAGTAAAAATTGAATGGGTGTGAATGGGGGCCAGTCACTTTATAGTGTTCCGTTGCCATACATTGCGTTTTAAAAAAAATTAAAAAGGCAACAAAAACATGTGCTAACGTATTGCAAACCATCACAGTGAAATATGTCCACTGGGAACACATTACTTCAGATAGAGCTTGCAAAAAAAACACAACCCAACAACGGATCAAACAGGAAATCAGATACAATCGCAAGTCAACTGACCCTCTGCTGACTTGCAAGTACCTTCTGATTTTGGCGTGAATGCACCCCAAAGAGAGGCGACATCCCCCAAAGCGCTGCATGTAGTGTATGAAGGAACCAGAGCTCTTGCTGGAGGTGCGCTCCCATAGTTCTGTGCATCCTGACGTTTACGCAACACCTACCGAGGAGTATTTCAGGACAGGATGCACACAGCTTGTAGATATGGAAATCAAAAGGAGCATTTATATTTTTTTAAATGTGACCTGTACCAATTGTACCGTGCTGGAATACATGGGGGAGGGTGAAGTTCATCCGCCATGTGAGACTAGTATGGTCATCAGTGTAGTATTGAGGTGAATGGTGGGGGACTAAACTAGTTGACAATTGACCTCTAGTCCTGAACACTCCGTGAGGAGCATCGTCTTCGTTCTACAGCTCAGGGGGAATTATTATTACTTCTCACACATACACAGCACATGCCGGTACAGCGAGCTGCCTCACACACACAGCTACGTGTACTCCGCTCCCTCACAGCTGCCTACTTCTGGCGGGCTTTTGCGCGCCTAGTACATCCGCCCGGTATCCATCCGCCGGGAGACCCTCCGCCAACTTACTTTACAGAGAGTTGTAGAGCTCCGGAGCGGAGAGAGTCAGGAGAACGCGTGCTTCCTCTATGGAGGGCCGGGGAAAGAGGGAGGAGGCCTCCCGGGGAGGGATTATACACAGGAACATCCGCTTGGCCTTTGGCTCGGAAATGGAATCACAGCGCCATCTTGCTGCTCCCAGACTTACTTCACAGACACTGACGTGTGAGGGTTCGCCAGTCATGAAGGCAGTGAAGCATAGCTTCGTGCTGTCCCTCATTTCTCCTCTGTTTTCCCTGTGTTTGGTCTGCTGTATAGACCTCTGTGAGAAAGTTCTATATAAAGTGAAAGGCAAGGCTATACAACAACATAGAGTTTAAGGCCTAGTTCACACCATGTCCAGACCAGAACAGTTTGTTCCTGGACCAAAAAAATCATCCCAATGTATCCCTATGGCATTTCTGGGCTCTGTTCAGGCCAGCGCAGTCCGTTCCGGTCCAGGCAAAAAATACTGCTTGTCTCATTTTCTCTTGTCTGGAATGCACTGGAACGCATGGAAATGCATCAAAAAAATGCACTGGACTGTGCCTGAAAGCCTATTTTAAGGGGGGAAAAAAGCAGCGATCACACTGTGGGGGCGTGGCTGCGGTGCCATTGACTTCAATGCTCCACCACGCCCCCTCCCGCCCCAAAACAAAGTGAGCTGGCCGGGTTGCGTTCTAGTGTGTTCCAGAGGCCGAAAAGCACTCTTTGGGGTGTGACTTGGCCCTCAGGCTCAACCAGTGCGGAGCGGTGGTGCGCTGCCTTTCTTGTGCAGTGTGTCATGTAATTTTCTCTCTGGCACGTCAACTTGCGAGAGCGCGCATAGCTGCGTGTGCCGAGATGAAAAATGTCACCTTCAGCCAATCGGCTCGCGTGTATAAAGATGCTAAGGCCATTCGGTTGTTACGCCAATTGGCTGAAGATGCAGTCTTTCATCTGACTGCACTCAGGTCACACACTACATGCAAAGCTCCTGACAGCTTCGCTTTGCTCTGCACTGCTTTGCATGCAGCGTGTCACGGGCTTAATACTGCGCCCTATATCAACCACTGTGGGAAGGAGCTGTGGAGCATCAGCCTGCTGGGAGCTGTAGTCCTAGGAGGCAATGTCAGTGCCTTAGTGGTACATGGGGCTCTCATTCTCCTGTCCAGGCCCACCCAATTGGTAGAACTCAAGGGCCCGGTCACAGCTGTGACTCTATTAGTTCCGCCACTTGGGGGGCACTGACAGGAGGAAGGGGGCCCCATTAACCTGGGACTACAGTTTCCAGCATGCCAACACTCCACAGCTCCCTCCTGCAGTGATTGATACTCATGTCAGTGGCAGAACTACCAGGGTCGCAGCGGCCACGCAGAGAGCCCCCACTGACCACAGAGAGCCCCCACTGACCACAGAGAGCCCCCACTGACCACAGAGAGCCTCTTCATCGGGGGGGAGGGGGCGGCGGTGGCACAATTTTCTGTTCTTGCCTCGGGCGCAAAAGAAGCTAGCTACAGCTCTGTAATACATTACTTGTTTTCACCTCTTTTTCATCCTTTGTTGCACTGCTGATCTCCTGCAGCCTCTTTCTAGTCATTTCATGTCTATGTACATCTATGAACTCCAGCAATGGCTCCATGGCATTTCCCAGAGAGGATTTCCTGATAACAGTGGCGTGGATGTGTGTAGTCTTCACCAGGAGCCCATACCAGTACAGTATACATTGGTTGTTTACCACACAAACACCTGTGCATTGGATGTATAACAATAAGTAGTATTATTTATGTATTTGGCTGAAGCAGTTCCAGATTCTAAGAATGTGTTTTTTCTCTTATACACACCATTTAATTATGGCTTTGGAAGCTGCCGTGACCCACTGGGATCTGTGCCATGATTACAGTCCAGAGGGACTTGTCTCAACTTGTTTATCATCTGACTCCCTAATGCCATCAATGAAAAGCTGACATTTTATTGCAGCAGTATGAAAAAATAATATTGGATATTAAAGATATTACAATCTTCCATGATTAAGGAAATGGGTTTCATGTGTATTCTTCCCACTCTTACTGTGAATGTTTTTTGTGTGTGTCAGTTGTGTAATTGTGGCCACATTATGCTCAGCACATAGCTGCCTCGCAGCAGCGGTGACAAGTCCTGCTGAGTTGTGAATGAGGAAGGAGGGGGTAGGGGTAAGGAGGTTGTCTTTTTGCTTTTAAAAAAGAAAAAGTCCGGCCCCTTCATCGTCATGAAGCCTCATGTAACCAGGAAGTTTAAAAAAGTGAACCGACTGCAACACAGGAATAGCAGCACTGGCACATCAAACATTTCTAATGCAACTCTGTGTTATACAGTGCACAAGTATTAATCATATGATGATTATTTTCCAGGAAGTGATATCCCCTCTTGTTGGAGAACAAAGGAATCCGTAACTGAACCAAACTGGCCCCCGAGCTCTGCCATCATCATGTGAGTTCTGCAGTAACTGCCAGTGTTTGCTTTCTGATCTATTGTATGAATATTTCCATTGATACTTCTATGTTTGATGCAGTTTAGATGCATACAAATATCTATGTTATCTCTAAAAACTTTCTGGCAGCAAAATAGTAATGTAGCTTTGTTCAGTTTCTGGTTCACTCGTGCTTCTAAGTCCTCATTCACACAGCTAAGAGTCGGCCCGTACAGATCCGTGCGGCGTGGACGGTCATATTGGGCCATTCCCGGGAAGGACAGGTCGTGTGTGTGATTATACGCAGCAGCCTGTTCTTCTCTATGGGAGGATGTGGCCGTACGCCGCCATACGCTCACCCGTGCGGGTGTCCATGTTTGGACGCAGACAGGATCCATCCTATCTGCGTACGAGTACGGACACCCGCACGGATGTGCAGCTCGGGTGAGCGTACGGCTGCGTCCTCCCATAGAGAAGTCCATAACAAGGTCTGTACTCTGTATGGAGTGCAGGTGATTTCGTATTATCGCTCCCATAGAGAAGAACACCCATAGAGAAGAACAGGCTGCTGCATACAATCACACGCAGCACCTGTCCTTCCGGTAAACGGCCCGATACGGCCGTGCACGCCGCACTGATCTGTACGGCCGACTCTATGCTGTGTGAATGAGGCCTAATGCTGGCTACACAATATGCAATTGTTGCTTTCATTGATTTGACTATGTTTGTACAGTCAGAATTCCATCTGAATCAGCTGAGTCGTAGGTGCCCCTGCAAGCACCACCCATCTCAAAAAAGGTTGATTTGAAAATGGAGAATTACCGGCCAGTGACCGCATCCTATCAGATCAGGTGCTGCGGCTGCATGAATACAATAGCTGGAAGCGGAGATTCCTCCATCCACGCTGTTTAGTAAATAACTGCTTTTCTCTTGTTCAGCCGCAGGCAGTATGTGTATGTATTCATGTGAGGTAGGGGCTATATTGTGAGCTCCATGGGGACAGGGGCTGATGTGAATGTACAGTATATGTAAAGCGCTGCATAAATACCTGTATAAATAATCATTCACGCCGAATCACTTATATCTTATATAACCTTTTATACTAAGTTTACACGGGCTGCAAAGGGACATTAAAAACGAATGCATTTTTACCACCCCCTGACCGCCTACCTACACATTACCTTGAGGCGTTTGTACACATTGCTGCAGCTGTGATGCTTTGCTTCATAGTATAACAATTGTAACCATGTGATGTTTTGCACATGGTAGCCCTTGTGTTCAATGTCTGTTCAGCCAGTCTTCTGTCAGTAAGCTACAGAGAAGGACCCTTGTTCTATGCGTGGACCCAGGTCTCTCTGCAGAGGTCTAACACCCCCCCTGCCGAGCCAAAGCCAGAGCTCTACAATCAGCAAAGAGCAGGCCATTTCAGAGCTATAGATCTGACTCAGTAAGGGGTGTATCTGACCTCTGCAGAGGGACCACTGCTTCCACACAGAGAACAGAAGTCCTTCTCTGTAGCTTACTGGCAGAGGACTGACTTTTCTGCTCAGGGTTTGATTGCTTTAAAAAACACGTTGCACACATTTGGTTTTGATGATGATCACTTGGGCTTTAAGCAACAACATCCAAAGGTGCTGTAGAAAGTACTTGTAATCAGGGAATAGCTGCAAAGAGGGTGGGGGAGATTGAAAGCACTGAGGTGCAAAAACAGGATTATGAGGATTAAAAAAATTACAGTTGCTTATGACACAGAAAGCTTTGGAAAACCAAGTGTCATCCAGTTTGGGTTCATAATCATTAAAAGAAGAATAGAACAGTACAAGGACAACAGTTATGCAAAACTAAAAGTTTATTGAGGGGAATTTATCAAAACTGGAGCAGACAGAATCTGGAGCAGTTGTCTATAGTAACCAATCAGCTTCTCTCTTTCATTCCAAAGCTTAACTGAGCAAACCGAAGAAAGAAGCTGATTACTATGGGCAACTGCTCCAGATTCTATCCAGATTCTATCTGCTGGAGCAGTTGCACATGGGGCGGGTAATGACTCACCAGCTGGCTTCCTGATTGGCCAGCTTTCCGGCCACCAGGTGACATGGGAGCATGGAGCCGGCTTCCTGTCCAATCAGGAAGTCAGGCAGCATGCAATGACTCGCTGCCCGGCTTCCTGATTGGCCAGAAAGCCGGCTCCATGCTCGTCACTTGGTGATGAGGGAGCATGAAGCGGGCTTCCCAGCCAATCAGGGGAAGACAGGAGGCAAGTCATTAACCGCCCCCCCCCCGGCTTCGTGATCCATGCTCCCTGGTGAGGAGGGAGCATGAAGCCGGTTTCCCGGCCAATCAGGAAGCTTGGCTTTATGTATTGACTCGCTGCCCGGTTTCCTGATACCGGAAGTTCTGGTATTGGGATAGGCATTGGGAGCATTTGGGCGAGTACGAATACTCGCCCAAATACTAGGTATCAGCACCGATACTAGTATCAGTATCGGTGCATCCCTAGTATAGACCCTTCAGGTCTATTTCTGTGGGAAAGCCATAATGCCAAAGCTGCTCCCCCTAGGTTGTTTGCAATCACAGATGTCAATCTAGCAGTCAACAGAGACACACCGAGGCAGCTAATAGAAGCCTGGTAAAGAACAAAAACTACCCTTGCAATGGGGCTATCTCTGCACTTCAAGGGTTCACTGCTTTTTTTTTTTTTGCCTATGGGTATTGTGTAAAGGACTTTTACCTGATCCCTGCTCCCACAAGCTCCATTCCACTTGCCTCCAGCAGTCGGATGCCTGCTGACACAAATCAGGGCCCATATGGACAACGAGAGACAGCCAACAAGGCAGAGCACAGGGGAGAGAGGTGAGCGCCGAATGCCAGGGGAGCGGAGATCAGGTAAGTGAAAGTCCTTTACAGGTCAACTCTAGACAAAAAACAGTTAATATGGGGGCGGGGGGAGACCCTTGCAGTGTGGGGATAGCCCCACTGCAAGTAGAGTTTATTTTTTACCTGGAGTTAGGCTTCATTCACACTGAGCTGACAAACATGTAAAGCAAATCAGCAAAGTCAGCACTTTAACCATGAACTGAATCTCCGAAGCTGATTGCTGATTTGTTTTAGGTTTGCCATGCCGGCTCAGTGTGAATGATGCTGTTGCTTAAGCTTCATGTACTTACAACTATTCTCCCTCATGTTGGTATATGTTTGAGCAAGTTTTCTATCAGGATGGCCATCTCTCATTATTGGAACTCTGATGCTGTGTAGGCAGTACAAGAATAAAGTATACAGAACACTTTGCACTTTTCCATGCATGGACTGGCCATTCAGGCTTGTTTGCTTTCTGGCTGATGTGAGCTGGTGTGCGTGGCATCTGCTTGGATAACAATGCTGTCATATTTTGATCACTTAGAGGAATATTTTTTGTAGAGGATTCACAGTCTATTTGTGATTTTGAAAACAATACATTTTGAATTTTGCATTCCAATTGTGTCAGGGTTTCTTACCCTTCCTCCTCCAGCATGGCTTGTATTCAGTGTGTCTGACACTGTTATTCCTCTTTGGCACACTCTTATGACCAAACCGTAAACATCATCATTCTGCAACTACTGACAAAACTTCTGACAAATTCCTTAGAGTTATGATGCCACACCAGTTGACTATTTAACCACCAGCTGTGTTATTTAGTCTCCGCCCTTGCATATATTCTGATCTACCAAGTGCTCTGCTGTTGTTCCTGTTCTCCATGTATGACCCTGACTCTGGGTGACTGATTTCTCGGTTCCTTACTTCAGCCATTGTTTCTGATCATTGTGCTCTCAATGTTGCTGACCTGGTTTGGCTAACTACCCACTTTGGCATTTGACCTCTGTCTTGGCATCGACAAAGTCCTGGACTTCTTTCATTGTTTTTTTGCCATTATTGTTATTTAAATAAACTCCTTTTATTTTTAACCTGCACTTTAGTTTCTGTTTGAAATAAATCTATATATATCTATATATATATAGCTATATATAGATAACTATATATAGCTATCTATATAGCTATATATATATATATATACACACACACACACATTTCTTTTTTCTCTCTTTCTTTTGTAGGGCTTATATCTACTAAAATGTAAATTGGCATAGTGCATATTGTACAAATTGGTCAAATCAGTCAGATTTCAGTGCATTAACTGCCGCTATAATTTGATGTCACGTTTTCATCGAAATCATCTTCTGTTTTTTTCTCCTAGTCTAATTTGACAACTTCTGTGTACTGGGCGAGCTGTGACATGCCCGTGTTGTCGCACATAGACAATGAGAGATGGAGCATCTTCTGGACCCCAAGAGGGAGGGAAATGGCACAGAGGAACCAGCCTCTCCCATTGCACATATTGCAGGCAACAGGCTCATCCTGGATGTTTACCTGGATGGCTGCGAGAGGTTCTTGCAGGTGACAGAGGGACAGAAAAGTGCACTGGAGGAAGTGGAATTTCTAGCACTGAACAGCCATGATGAAATGATAACATCAGCAGTAACAGCTCTGCCTATGTTCAGAAGGCTTAAATCATTAAGACTGAAAGGTAAGGAGCAATTCATAATTAATATTTATCTGCATGTTGCCTATTTTTTTCTGCAGATATGTAACAGAAACGTTTACAGGCTGTAAACATTTATCCTATGTATGACTACACAGCTTAGAAAGCATATACTGTATATAAAATAATTCTGAAAATGATGTGTTGTTCCTTGACAATCCTTTTCCCGAATAGTACAGAAATAATTTACTTTTTTAAGTTGGAGTGTTCAGAAACCACTGCTGTATAAAAGTAAATGTCCGTAGATTAGGGAGGTTTCAATTGCTTCCCTGTTTTTTCTATTGATAATATATGGTAAGGTTAGCTAGTTATTCATTATGTATCACGTACCTGGCTGGAGACTGGTTGGATGAGGAGGCTGCCCTTGCGCCTTGTGAACCCTAAACTCTGAGGATAGGAACAGAGCCTGAGAAACAGCAAGTAGCATGGGGCATCACTGTCCCATGCAGAAATCCAGAATCAGGATCGGTTAGAGCAGAGCCGAGGTCACACCAGACCTCTGCGTAGTATCAGGGCCTACATAAACAATGTAAGTCAGTGTACTGTATGTTTAGTCTCTCACACTACATAGTTGGTAATTAATCTAAAGGCAATTGTAGAGCCAAATTGTAATGTGTAATCAACATAAACAGACTTGACAATCATACTTGTTTTATTTGGTAGTCATAATAGAAGTCTATTGAATTTCATAGGTGTATATTTGCTGGATGAAAATGTAAGGCGTCAGAATGGTTTGCTGTCCTCTCTACCTCCAGACCTCAGCCAGCTTTCCCACATAGAGTACCTGGATCTCAGCTTCAACAGCTTTACAGAATTACCACCTTGTGTCACCACCCTTCCATGTCTGTCTACTCTGCACCTTGGCTACAACCAGCTCAGGACTCTACCAGATGACATTTGTAAGCTAAAAAGTCTGACTTCTCTCATAGTTATGTTCAACCAGCTGACTGAGATTCCTGCATCCATAGGACAGCTGATAATTATGAAAACATTGAACCTGTCAAATAACATGCTAGTATCTTTGCCAGAGGAGATTGGAGACCTGGAGCAGTGTGTCATACTGGATTTGTCTGAGAACAATATCAAAAGTCTTCCAGAAACATTGTGTAAGTCTTACTTTCTGACTGTTGCCACAAAAGCTGAACTCCAGAAAGGTATTAAAGACACATATAATTGCAGCTCTGTAAAATGCATGTTGTAAATGCAACTAGTGTAAGTATCAGAATTTGGACTGGTATCAATGCTTTGCAATCCCTGTACAGCAGGACTGTGACTGGTATAGGGAGGGACTAGACTGGGAGACAATCAGGCGTGCTGCATGAAAATGTATAGACAAGGAACATTTTTATAGGAGAGAGCAGAGGGATGACCTCAACAATCTAACGTTCTTTCACCGTTCGGTTAAAAGCCTGGAGATGGAGAGAAGATACCACTACATTCCTTAAAGTGACAGTAAACTCAGAAGTTAAACCTTAAAAATGCATTCAAGTTCCTTAACTATAACATGTATCTTATTTGTCCTTCACTCAGTAGTAGATCCTCTAATCATCTCTGAATTGGTACGGACACTATCCTTCCTTCTGGAAGGTGGCTACATTTGTTCCCCATGGTCCCTGTGTGTCCCTCCAAGCTCACTTCCTCACAATCTCGTGTTTAGTTTACTAATTTGTAATGAGATTGCCAATAGAGAACAGTCAGCTCGTTGCAGCCTTTTTATAGCACAAGATTTGTGCACTCCTGTCCTGTTTTGTATTGTTGCACTAAATGGATACCCTCCATTTTGTGGAGCTGCAAGTATATCCTTAACCTATGGAACCCTTTTCCCACCTGCTGCAGAGTTGTAACCCCTGTTCATTGAAGAAACTGACTACACAGTATTTTATTTTTGGTTTCTAAAACTTCTTTCCTTTCTAGGTAATCTGGTGTCCTTAAAGCAACTTATTCTTTTCAGTAATGGGCTTGTCAATGTACCAGCGGGTCTGGCCAGTCTGCCTCATCTCACTCATCTGCATCTACAGAACAACAAACTGCGCTCTGTACCCATAGAAATCACACTGTGTTCTTGTGTACGGCTACAGGGTAATCCAATAGGGGAGCCTGAACCCTCTTCTCCTTCTGAAGGTAAAATATTACATTTAGATTTATCATCTTCAACAGTTCACTTTACCTAGTTGAGATCATGGGAATAGTAGGTGTGAGCAATTGGGAGGTATTCCCAGGCTTATATTATCCTTCCCATGTGTTCTTGGTTTGTTCTGGGCCTCCCCTTCCTCTTATTGTACTTGGAACAGAAAGTTTGTTAGCTGTTATCTTTAGAAGATGCCTAGACCAGGAACCTGCGGCACGATTGCATACAGTTTGGAATAGCTCACTATTGCTGGATGCATCTATCCTGTGTCCAGTGACCGTGATCTGTTCCAAACCCATGTAATTGCATCATATACGGTTGTTACAAGCGGACTGCCACTTACAGATGCATCCTTTGTCACTCAGTCGTTAACTTAAATGGGCATAGCGGCCTTTTCTGAATAAGAACACCTGGCATTCCTTACAAAAACAAACATTTCCCAGCACACTCACCAGCCAGCCCGGGAAAAAAAATACAGGCTCCAACTACTCAAGTTAAAAACAAAGGTTTTAGTTGCACAACTTTTGCAAAATATGTGGAATCCGCACTGCCACGTCAAGGCCCCTCTGTATAGTGTGGGCCTAACTCTAATCTATGAAAGCCTCCATCCCGGTAAAAGCAGGTACATGTGTCTTCTAACAAAAATCCCTACATATTAGCATTTTTTAAAATCTTTTTGACTTAACTTCCTCTTTATGTTGCTGCATTTTGGAAAATTATAAATAAAATAACTGGAGCTGATTTATTTTGTCCTTGTAAAAAGTGTTGACACTAATTTTACTTTTTTTTTCTGCAGGTGAGAATAATGGCACAGAGATGAAAAAGATCTATGTGAAATCTAATGAAAAAAGGTACATTTTATTATTTTTTGACTCTGAATATGTATTAAAATGATTTGTACTTAATACAATGGTCATCGATGTTTGCCATTTTGTTCTGACCTATCATCGTTGAACATTATCCAGGCATAAGGCTGTGACCATGGAAGGGCCTTTTTTGTTTTGCAAATAAGGGCTGACCCCGACAGGGTGAGATGATTCTCTTTAGCTCTCCCCGTACCACATTTTTGTACGTAGCCCTTTTATTTAAAGCTGTTATTTTTATATCACTGACCCATGGAAACAATATTTTCTAGATTGCAGTAGTTGATTGAATCAGCATTATCACCTCTGAGCAATCAGTAATGTGGTAACAATGGATGTTGAGTAAGGAAATAGTAGAGTGATTTTTTGGGGCTGTGAAATGTGGAAGGACCATGTAAGTTAGTGTCACTAAACTAAATTACAAATGCTTTGGTGGGTGAAACAGTAACTATGTATGTATTTTGATTGTGTATGTAGCTGTTTTTGTTTGAAATTCCACTCTAATAAAATCTTAAGAGTATTTTCTTTGTTTCCAGTTTTTTGGTCACACCAGAGGGATGCTGCGTACTTATACCTGGTGGTTTTCAGCTTTGTTTTCCTCATGGAGCCGTGTCTTTCCCCAAGAAAATTGGTTTTCAGATATTTCAACCAGATTCCCAGCATGTGAGACTTGGACATCATGATGTGCTGCTCAGTAGTACCTTGGAGCTTCAGCCTCATGGTATTCAGTTCCATCAGGTGAGTCAGCTGTTTTGTGTGTCATTAGGGTGCTTCTATAGAACAAAACTATCAGGTCTATTCACAAAAGGGTGAAGAGTTTGGCGAAGGCAGAAGAAGTGAACAATCTAGGACAACATAGCTGAACTGCAAAGTGAGCTGAATTGTAGAATGTTTCCAAATCAGCTATGTTGCCCTAGATTTTTCACTTCTTCCTTCTCCAAACTCTTCACCCTTTTGTGAATATCCCTGTATATGTTTTTATAAATTGGAGACCAGACACTAAAGAATGATCCATGCTGTGGTTAATAGTGTTTTAGTTTGAGTAATTCACTACGTTGAAGTTATGTGTATCATTTATTGTTCAACAGGATGTTGAAATCACCATCCCTTTCACTTACACGAAGTGTGTGCGAAAACGAGAGGTGGTTATTAGGACTTTCGCTGACTTATCAGAAACATGGACAGACCTGAGCACTACAACAAAAGATAAATCAGTCCATGAGGTAAGACAACTGGCTGAATGATTTCAGTTCTGGTATTTGTGACCTGAATATGTGTTAATGACTTATGTAAATTATTATGTAATAGTGGCTGTCCTAAAGAATCATTATGCTTTCAAGTCATTTTTTTCATTGGCTGTATGTATATGTATGGATCTGATGAAGCCAGAGAATACCATTGTGTTGATTACAGTTCAGTGCCTGATAATACTGGGAAATGTGAAAGATGTCAGCCTGCAAAACAATAAGTCCTCTATGCTCCTCCCCTCCATATTAATACAAAATATGGCTGCCTTCTCTACCCCCATGTCTTGTTTTCACTCTGTCTTCTACTTTCACAGTCAGTTCAAGTAAGATGTCCGGTCTGGTGCAATCAAAATGCTGCAACTATTTTGATTGCACCGGACCGGACCACAGACACAATGTGCCTTGCAATCCCGTGCGGGCGATCGCAGGGCGTGGCTACGGTGCCATTCACTTCAATGGCCCACCACGTCCCCTCCTGCCCCACTAAAAAGTGAGCCGGCCGCAATGCGAGGCAGTGCCTTCCGACCAGAATTGGGCCGGAATGCACTGCAACTCGTGTGAACGGGCCCTCAATGATATGTCTCCAGCTAGATCGGAACTGTGTCTACCACTCCAACTGTTCTCACATCATCCTCTGACTTTACACTTGTTTCAGCTGGCCTAAAATGAGCAACATAAAATCTGATTTGCATCTTTGAGATTGATTAAGTGAAAAAATTAGCTAAGAAGCTATAAAGTTGGATGGGGTAACTTCACCCAAAATGCAAAATTTTACGTGCTAAACCTCCCTTGCCAATAGATCAAAGTGCTGCTTTGAATTATTGAATCTCTTACATTCATAAAATAAATACCTGGTGTCCATGGGCGTTCCTCCTGCAGGGTGACACAGTTATTTTGCCTGCATTGAATTATTATTATTATTGTACAGGATTTATATAGCGCCAACAGTTAGCGCAGCGCTTTACAATATAAGGAAGACATTACAATTACAATACAAGTCAAGACAAAATGGTTAGGAGGGCCCTGCCTCTAAGGTCTTACAATATAAAAGGGAGGGGCAAGTGATAAAAGAGGTCGTAGCTGTGTGGAGATAAAGATGAATTGTTTGAGAAAGTGATAGATCAGTGGTTAGGTTGAGGCGGAATAGGCTTCCCTGAAGAGAGAAGTCTTTAGGGATCACCTAAAGGCAGACATATTAGGAGATAGATGGACAGGTTGGGATAGGGAGTTCCAAAGGATGGGAGAGACTCTAGAGAGAAGCATGGAAGGAGTTGACGAGGGAGCAAGAGAGCAGGAGACTAGAAAAAAAAAGCGCACATCTCACCCTTGTAATGCATCCTTGTACCCTACATTCGCTGTATAGATTACCCTCTTCTGGAGTGACTATCTCAAAAACTGAAGAACCAGCACACAATGCTCTTCCAAAGAAAGCCAAACTTTATTCCACACGCATTTGTACAAAAAACAACCGCTGCTGCCTTTCTGCCTTACTCGGCCTTAGTTATAGCTGGTCATCCAGCTATGACTAAGGCCGAGTAAGGCAGAAAGGCGTCAGCGGTTGTTTTTTGTCATTGGCATAGAGATGGTATTGGAAGCCATGAAAGGTTATCAACTGATTCACTGCAGTGTCGTCACCCTGAGAGCCTCTTGGACTGTAGAGGTTGCATTAATACAAATGCGGAAGAAGATTTTCAGTGTTGTCACTGCTAAATACCCTACCCCTCACTGCCAGTTAGCAGAGGATATGTTACCCTTCTCCCAACTTTGGCCCTTGTGATGATGGCTCACTTTACTCCCAGGGAAAGGTAAGCATAATTAAAAAGAAAAAACAGTAGGAGGGGAAATTAATAATGCAGTAATAAATGTTGGCAAGAGAAGGACTTCATCCTGGCTTATATGTAAGTACTGGTGTGCTTGAATAACTGGTAGTTTTCCATCATGTTCCTTAGGTCTTTTTTTTAAAGTATATTTACTGTTTTGTCCTGTTTGATCAGATGGTAGCCACCTGCAGGACCCCTCACTTCTCATGGTTCCTTGTGGTCTCACGTTTAGTGGAAGATAGATGTGAGGTGCCTAAGGAAGGAGAGCTCCTTTTCTCCACTGTGGACCAGAACATTCGGGTTGAATTTCCAGCTGGAGCAACTCAGAGGACCCGAACAATTCGTATGCAGGTCAGTTAGGTAACACTAGCCCTAGTTTTTGTTCCATAAAACTTTTGTTTTGTAAAACTTGCTGGAATTGCGCCTATGACACAACAATGGTCTACAGAGCTGCCAATGGGGTGCAGCACCTTCCATTGCGCTCTGCTACACACCCAGAACCATCACCATCATCCCAGTGCTGTCACCTGAACCACTAACTTCAGTCTGAATGTGCCAGGGCATGGAGAGAGCCCTTAAAAAGTTGCAAAGTTTGTGAACAGGAGGATGATGTAAACAACAATTCCACTGCACACCACCAATGTGCCGTCCCCGCTGTGATCTCTGATCACCCAAGTCGAGTATGTCAGACTTGAATTAGTACTTTACCTATGCTGATGCAATATAGCAATATAGCAGTGTTTAAGGCGGAATAGGCTTCCCTGAAGAGAGAAGTCTTTAGGGATCACCTAAAGGCAGACATATTAGGAGATAGATGGACAGGTTGGGATAGGGAGTTCCAAAGGATGGGAGAGACTCTAGAGAGAAGCATGGAAGGAGTTGACGAGGGAGCAAGAGAGCAGGAGACTAGAAAAAAAAAGCGCACATCTCACCCTTGTAATGCATCCTTGTACCCTACATTCGCTGTATAGATTACCCTCTTCTGGAGTGACTATCTCAAAAACTGAAGAACCAGCACACAATGCTCTTCCAAAGAAAGCCAAACTTTATTCCACACGCATTTGTACAAAAAACAACCGCTGCTGCCTTTCTGCCTTACTCGGCCTTAGTTATAGCTGGTCATCCAGCTATGACTAAGGCCGAGTAAGGCAGAAAGGCGTCAGCGGTTGTTTTTTGTCATTGGCATAGAGATGGTATTGGAAGCCATGAAAGGTTATCAACTGATTCACTGCAGTGTCGTCACCCTGAGAGCCTCTTGGACTGTAGAGGTTGCATTAATACAAATGCGGAAGAAGATTTTCAGTGTTGTCACTGCTAAATACCCTACCCCTCACTGCCAGTTAGCAGAGGATATGTTACCCTTCTCCCAACTTTGGCCCTTGTGATGATGGCTCACTTTACTCCCAGGGAAAGGTAAGCATAATTAAAAAGAAAAAACAGTAGGAGGGGAAATTAATAATGCAGTAATAAATGTTGGCAAGAGAAGGACTTCATCCTGGCTTATATGTAAGTACTGGTGTGCTTGAATAACTGGTAGTTTTCCATCATGTTCCTTAGGTCTTTTTTTTAAAGTATATTTACTGTTTTGTCCTGTTTGATCAGATGGTAGCCACCTGCAGGACCCCTCACTTCTCATGGTTCCTTGTGGTCTCACGTTTAGTGGAAGATAGATGTGAGGTGCCTAAGGAAGGAGAGCTCCTTTTCTCCACTGTGGACCAGAACATTCGGGTTGAATTTCCAGCTGGAGCAACTCAGAGGACCCGAACAATTCGTATGCAGGTCAGTTAGGTAACACTAGCCCTAGTTTTTGTTCCATAAAACTTTTGTTTTGTAAAACTTGCTGGAATTGCGCCTATGACACAACAATGGTCTACAGAGCTGCCAATGGGGTGCAGCACCTTCCATTGCGCTCTGCTACACACCCAGAACCATCACCATCATCCCAGTGCTGTCACCTGAACCACTAACTTCAGTCTGAATGTGCCAGGGCATGGAGAGAGCCCTTAAAAAGTTGCAAAGTTTGTGAACAGGAGGATGATGTAAACAACAATTCCACTGCACACCACCAATGTGCCGTCCCCGCTGTGATCTCTGATCACCCAAGTCGAGTATGTCAGACTTGAATTAGTACTTTACCTATGCTGATGCAATATAGCAATATAGCAGTGTTTTGTTGTTTACATCATCCTCCTGTTAACAAACTTTTCATTGGGGATATACTATATATTGCCAGTGTCCTGAGCGGGCGATAAACAAACAGATAATGTAATGTGCTCCTCCACAGAGGACAGATTTCTGGGCTCTCTCTCTGAGTCTCAGCTGGCAGGTACAGCCTGTCAGTGGGGTCTGAGCAGCTCAAACGCTCCACGCGGCGCCCAGGAGTATCGGGCAGATACAGCCAGCCACATTGACACAAAGTAGCACGCATGCAGCAAGCACAGGCACAGAAGAAATAACCAGGGGTGGTGCTGAGCTTACAGCCGACAAAGCTGCTGCAGGCGGGGAGGGGCGGATCACCCCTTCCAGTCTACAGTGTCATACTAGCAAGCGGTGGGGAGCCGACTTGAAGGGCCAGACCGAATGATTAAGGCCCATGGGCCAGACATTCCCCACCCCTGGTTTAGGTGAAAAAGCATTGTTTATGCATCATTTCCGTCCTGCACTTGTATGGCTATTGCTTGTAGTGCTTTATGCGTTCATATTCAGTACAGTATGTATTCATACTGTTATAGTGTGGATTTCTTGCACCTACGGTATTAGCTGTACAATTCATGATGTGTTTGCTGTGCTGTACACTTAGAGAGCACTGGTTACTGTTAATCAGGCTTTTTGTGGCCGATGTGTCCAGTTTGATCAGTCATTTGTGGCAGATGAGCAGTGGCGGAATGGATTTGTCTGTGAGTGTGGTCTCCTCTGTGGTGTGCAAGGCTCCGTGTGGCTTTTCTGCCCTGTTTTCTGTCATCACTGCAAGTCTGTAAAATGTGTATGATAAACATTTTATTTTCAGTGGAGATGTACTAGTATGCTTAAAACCACTGTACAGTAAAGGAAAGCACTGCAACTTATATCTACCACCCATGCTGGTAATCTAATGTAGTTTGACATTAGTGTTCTGATTGCATGGTGCACATGGCCTGGTTACACTGCCATAAAGGTATTTGTTCAGGTACTTCCTCACGCTGAAGGGGGAGTTGGTGGTGGGGGGGCTTGCCAGGTAGGCTATACGGGACTGTATGATTTTTGTATTGGGCCCTGATGGTGTTTAAATCTGACTTGTGCTGACATTTGCAACACTGTACATACTGCCACGAAGTAAGAAAAACTTTTTCTGATTTCACCCTTTTTAGGTTTTACCAGTCAGCAAAAAATTACTGCGGGAGATCACAGGAGACAATGCATCTTCCACTAGCCCACTCCTATGTCTTTCACAGAGTTCAACAGACAACTTCTTACGTCCTGTTAAAATCCAGCTACCGTTGCCACCAGAAGTGAAAGGTTAGATGCTGAACTGAATTTCAGTTGTATGTCATTCACTGGGTGAGATTTAAACGTGCACATATACAAAGAATGTTCAGGGGCAATTTAAAATTGCGCACAACTGCTCAATAACATAAACAGTGCAGGGAGAGTGTGAGAAAAAACCTGGGTGAATGCTGGTGAATCTCAGCCACCATGATTTGTAATGTTGCCTTTTGTAATGCTATTGTTCCTGTTTGCAGGTAATACTTTGGATCGATCCCACCTTTTCCTCTTGCATGGTGATCCGCGGGCACAGACCTGGACCGATATTACCAGTCAGGTTGTGTTACAGATTACTCATATTTACGCCCAATTCCAGGTGGATCATTTCTCCTGGTGAGTACATTACATGAAGTTTGTATGCCCCACTCAGCTCATTTATTTATCCCTGCTCTCTTTTACTTTCCATTGAGGGACACAGCTTAATAATAACAAGTAACCTAGCAGCATTATATTGCCACCTACAGGCGAAATGGACACTAGGCACTTAGAAAACTGAAGGTCAGCCCCCTTGAGGCTAAAACCTCTCCCACCTTACAACTGCTTAGTTTTGCATAGTTTTCCTAGGATAATGGATATCTCGTTCCCACTATAAGAAGTTACTGGTAGATTCAGGCCGGATTTTCAAAATCTTGGAAATGTCTCCAGTTAGCCAATGAGCACATGTTTTCCCAGGTCATTAGGAATAATATCAGCAGTGACTACCTGTCCGTTTTCCAGTAGGCACAGAACTGCACTTTCAGGTCAGGCCAGTTACCGGGGAGGGGGGGGATTTCTTGTGGAGCTTTTGGGCCCGGAGCTGCGGTATTCCTGTCTCTGTCTCTGAAGACTTTTTTGAATTCCCAGAAAGCTTATGCTCTATTGAGGTTTTCCTTTGTTTGCTACTGAGGCTGTGTGTATTGTATTTTTTCAGAAGCTGTTCACTAAGTCGAACCCTCCTTTTTTATTTACATCTCGACCTGTACTTTTGCTAAGATTGCAGCGGCAGGGCATTGTTCATTCATAAGGGGCGGCATCTGGATTGTTGTTGTGGTAAAATGGAGTCTATCTTGTCCCGGGCAGAGTTTCTTTTTCTGGTGATCACCATGGTGTACATTCCTGGAGTGGAGAACTGGGAGGCAGATTTTCTCAGAAGATAATCTTTGGATCTGGGGGGGAAAGTTGTTCCAGAAATGTTTTTGTAGGGGTGCGTTGCATGTATTTCTTTTTGCTTCTCGGTTCAACAAGAAGCTGGAAGGGTTTGTTCGTAAGACACAAGACCTAAAGGAGGATCCAGCAGATGCCTTGGTAGCTCCACGGGATCAGCATACTCTGATCTATGCCTTTCCTTTTACCCTGTCCACTTTGAAGGATCATGGCCAAAAGCATTCCAGTAATTCTAATAACTGACACTATGTGGCCAGAGCTGGTATTTCAAGGACCGATCTTCCATCATTCTTTTTGACCACTGTCTTCGAAGGCCCCAGGTTCCAGGAGACAGGGGTATTGCAAATTCTGTATTTCTGCCCATATTGAAAACTCCTGAATCTTCGTCCTGCAAGATTTATGATAGAATATGGAAGATGTATTTTCACTGTTTGGGGGTGTTCTCTACATGCTTTTTCGGTGGGCCATGTTCTTTCGTTCCTGCAGTTGGGGGTAGAAGAACACTTGACCATTAGCACTATCAAAGGTCATGTATCTGCACTGTCCATTCTTTTTCAACATCCTCTTGCGACTCATTCCTTGAGTCATAGCCTTATACAAGGTGTTCCACATGCTGCTCCCCCCCCCCGTTAGGCCTTCTCTCAAAGTGTGAAATTTAAATCTAGTACTTCTTTTCTAACCTTTTTCTAACCTTTTTCGTACATATGTTTGGTGTTGCTGTCTCATAAGGGTAGCCTTTCTTGTGGCCATTACTTTGTCCAGCAGGGTTTCTGAGTTATCAGAATTGTTCTATATTGAACCCTATTTGATTTTACACCAAGTTAAGGTGACAAGAGACCAAAAACCTCCTTTTTTACTCAAAGTGGTTTCTGTTTTTCACCTAATGAAGATATTGAGGGTTATTCACAAAGCTGACGAAGGCAGCCGAGTGAATAGCCGACCCGAAGTGTATTTAGCCGAACGCTGTTCGACTATTCACTTCAGGCTTGTACAGCTGATTTCAGCCGTACATCGGCTTGCTTGGGCTGGCTTCAGTTCAGCCGAACATGCTCAGCATGTTCGGCTGAGCTGAAGTGCAGAAGGAGTTCGACTCAGCCGGTCCAACATCTGGATCGGCTGAGCCGAAGCTCCGTCAGCTCACTCGCTGACGTTCGCCCCTATTGATTGCCATGCAAAGCTGCTCCAATTTTTGCCTGCTCCAGTTTTGATAAATCCCCCTCTCAGCTCCCTCCACTCATATGCTATTTTTGTTTGTTTTTGGACTGCTTGTTACAACAAGGGTGCGAGGTGGGAGGGGTTATAGCCTCTAGGGGGCTGGCCTTCAGGTTTCTTTGTTCCGAGTGCCCATTTCTCCTGTAGACGGCAGTATAACCCCAATTTGCTTGTTAATCCCAGGTTGTGTCACTCAATGGACTCCAAGAAAATAATTTTACAGTGAGTACAAAAACCCTATTTTTTATCATAGGGAAGGGAAAGGACTTCAACTTGGTGTTTTTGCTGTGCCTAATGGGGCGGTTTTGCTGTACGTCCTGCTCCAGAGTCAGGATTTTGCAGGAAAATGAAGTGAGGGTGAATGCCTTTAATGTGATTATAGAGAGCAATAAAAAGCTAACATGTTCTGTCTTTTCCCTATTCTATCACAAACTAAAAATGGGTTTGGGCTGGAGTTGCACCTTAATGTTTGACCACACATTGTTAGTTAACCTATTCCCTCTAAATGTTTGTTTGATTTCTGCTTTTTATGTTTGCTTTTAAGGTACTGGCTGTGGTACACCACAAAGTCCTATGTGGGTGAGCTGGCCAAGACTGTGTATCAGCGCCTACGTATGTACCAGGTAAACTTTGTTGCTCTCCAGAGGAAAAGAGACCCAGAGCAAGTGTTGCTGCAGTGCGTCCCCAAACATAAGGTAACATTTCTTTTATAATGCATGACCTCTGAATGTGTCCGGCTATCTGTTTTTATCTCCCAGATCACTCACTGATGGTTGCAGTTAATAATATGACTTTACCTGTAGCAGATGAAACAGATCAGTCCCTAACCAAACTGATAGTTTACGTAGCAGAAAGAATCAGTTTTCAGAAAGAATATATTCATATGCAAGTCCATTATGTACAGTACAGGCAGTCCCCAAGTTACAAACATCCAACTTACATACGACCACTACTTACAAAAGGAGGCAATTACTGTAGAGCAGGGGGTCCCAGGCTGCAGCCAAAGTGTACAGTGCAGCATTTCAGTCTTTGTAATGCTACCGCACTCGTGCCGACGAGGAGTGCCCGCCTTTTTGGGTCTGGTTCGTAGTACTCTATGTATATTACAGGAAGTTGGCTTAGTTGTTAGACGTGCATACAAGGGCTGCCTGCGTCTTCTTTCAGGTCACTGTGAGGTTTTTACTGCTGTCTGTATCCTCATTAGAAAGATTTTATCTCACTTCCTGTCCTTGAGACAACAGGAAGTGAGAGCAAATCTACCCGATGGAAGGAAATTCACTCCTGTAAGAGTGATAATGGGGAAAAGGAGTCTCCACTGAAGCTTTATCACCAATCCTTGTTTCAATTTTTCAAAATCCAATTGTCACAGGGACAGAAAGTGAGGTGAAATCTTCTGAACAGGGGCACATACAGCAAAACAAACGTTACAGGGGGTAACCCTTCCCTATGCTATCCAAAACTAAAAAAAAATTTGGCTGGAGTTACACTTCAAAAATGTACCTGTTCCAACTTACATACAAATTCAACTTAAGAACAAATCTACAGTCCCTATCTTGTTCGTAACCCGGGGACTGCCTGTATATCACTAACACACAAGTCCAAAAACGTAAAAACTTGAAGCAACCAGCTAATTGCATGGTTGAAATAAATATATGCTTAGTGTTCTAGCTGCCAAAGTATTCGTAATTCTCTACAACCAACCTTTGATTTATACACATTTTATACCCTACACACGTTACTAATTAAACATTTAGGCCCTAGTCACAGTTGTGTGTTATTGTAAAACGTGCGCATTACCCCATAATACATGGCAACGCACCTGCTCCACATGCGGTGACATTTATTGTGAATGGTAAAACAGTAACCATATACAGTATATATTTTAAGCATCTAAATAGCTGTTTTAATATTATTTAATTTGCAAATAAAATGTTGGCGTACATATTCCATAGTACACCTTATGGGAATAGAAGATACAAAAGCAGCATTAGTTGGATGTTAGACCTGCCCAAGAAAATAGGAATGCACAAGACACAATGAACATCAGAGTACAATATGCTAGATGGGATCACGGATCATGATCACCTGGTGTGCAAACATCTCTGCGCCTGCGGACCTGTGAAGCCAGTGTACTGTAGCAGTTTATCTCTATTCTTGTTCATATGCTTTTGTAAATCAGGTCCTTTGTGTGAGTAAAAGTTTCTCTCACAATTTGCATTGAAACGCAGACAGACACCATAGGTGGAACCTACAGAGACGTATATTTACTACAGCTGCTGCTGCTGACTCATTCATTATTCTCCCGATGTCAAATTACTATGATTCCTCTCCTTCTTCTGTAGTAAGAGGAAGAAGAGGGATCTTCAGAGCAAACAGCAACATGTGATTGCTGCGATTAGTCATCACAGCGATCACATCGATACAGTTTCTCTGCGTACAGCCTGGTACACAGGGATCCTAAGACGTCATTTCAAAAATATACATCCACCTCCATGGCATTTTATTTTACTATACTGCGGTAGGGAGGTAGGTAAGGACCTAATCACATTGTGTGTTGCGGTAATACGCGTTACAAAAATTAATGGCAACACACCTGCTCTATGTTAATTGTGAATAGTACCCTAATACATTGCATAGTAAAGCACAACATACCGTAGCACACCACAACAAAAATAAGCCCAGTGAAGGCTTTTTTTTTTGTCCAGTCTTTTTTGTATTGAATTTTCCAATACAATTTAGGAAAAGACTTTCAGGTAGGGATGCACCGATATATGGGCCGCCGCTAAATGCCGAAAGTGCCATTTTTGTGCCGATACGTCGGCGCATCCCTGCTTTCTTTCCTCCCCGCTGGGCGCTGCTCTGTGTCTCAGCGGGGAGAAGAGAAAGTGACAGCTGACCGAGTGCTGCGGGAGGAGAGAGCACTGTGAGCGGCCGGTGTCTCTCCTCCCACACTGCTCGGCCTCTTGTCACAGTGCGGCAGAGCGGTGTGTGGGCAGAGACAGCGCTGTCACAGGAGGCTGAGCTCTCCTCCCGCACCGCTCGCTCAGCCTCCTGTGACAGTGTGTGTCAGAGAGGAGAGCAAACACTCAGCGATCAGTGATCGCTGAGTGTTTGTAGATAATTGAGGACATGGTATGTTGGCTACATCCTCAATTCATAGTTGTAGTTATAGTAAACATACTATATTCTCAAGTTATCAACGAACAGGAACACTCAGTATAGAGGATTCCTGTTCATTGATAACAGGGGATATAGAAAAAGAGATTGTGGACTTTGTGTTCTCAATCTCTTTTTCTATTTTAAAAAGGAAATATCAGGGGTCTGTGTAGACCCCTAATATTTCCCCCCGAATATTTGCCCCTAAAAGTAAAGTAAAAAATGAATTAATAAATAAAAATAGATATAAAAAAAAATATTAAAAAAATTAAAATCAAAACATTTTTGGGTTACAGCCTGGCAATTTTTTTTATTTCGGGTTTGTTTCGGTTTTGAAATTTCTATTTCGGTGCACTTCTACTTACAGGATTCATTAGCAATCAAAAGGAATTACCAAACTACATTTGCAATCCAAATCCTTGACCAAACACTGTGGCACACATTGGCAACAAGGAAAAAGTTTAGACATTTTTCCATTACACCTAAAAAGGATGATATGACCTTGGTATACCATTAATGTTCAATATAGACAGTGAGTCTAGGGCCTGCATCCTCATCTCTATGTGTTTAGGGGTATTACCAGAGGGAATGTGATGAGGAGATGCCAGCAGGCTATACTGGGGGTACCAGGTGCTTTGTTTTATCCATAGTCTTCAACAGATCGCTTAGGTGTGAACAGTCCCTTAAAGTTGTTTGCTGTCTCTTTCAGGTTCAGTGCAACATGTAGAAGTAAGCAGACTTAGTCAAGAAAACTGTACACATTTGTAAATTGTGCTCTGAAATGTATCTCAGAAAGACATATGTATGTTTTAGAGTTTCAGATCCAATCAAGTGGAAATCAACAGCTAGATGAAGCTAGGTACAAGCATGTGAGATTCTTTGCATGTATTTTCTGTTTGGATTTGTGGTGCCCTTGTCTTAACTAACACAGTTGGGTTGATTTACTAAATGAGTAGTGCGTGTTCACTACTGTGTAAATGTACTATGCAAAGAATACACAATCATGTGCAAGGAAAACTGAAAGGTCAGTACAACCACACTTTATCTTTAAGCTAAAATAAAATTTCCCTTAGCTTAGTAAATAAGGTGAAGTTGTGTTCACGTCAGTCACTCCATCCTGTGCATGACATCATCCTGTTTTTTTAAGTCTCCTTGCAAATGATTGGATATTCAAAGTGAACACATTTTTACATTTTGCAAAGTGAATTTTCACTTCAAGTGAACCTCCTCTACACGTTTAATAAATAAGCCCCTATGATTAGAAATACTAGAGAGCAAAATGGGGGAAAACAAATCTTATAGTGCTGGATTCACACTTTGTGATAATATAGATATTAGCAAGTTGGCGTACTATAGCCTAGATTGGGGTATGAAAATGATGACTTGTTTAGTATCATTTGTGAATGAATAGCTTGATTATTTGATGTTTCATATATACAGTATGTTAGGAAATGGTCTACTATCTGCATGTGTATAGGTTTTTTTTTTCAATTTTTAGTGCCTGTCAAATGAGAACTCTGTCATTAAATCCATATGTATATTCACAGATCTATTCCTATAAATCACAAGTGGTCTGTTCTGAGATCTGTCGCAAAACAACTCCATTAGGAAAAAAAAATGTTTAATCCGCATTCAAGGACCTGCTGAATTCCCATCATCTTCTGTGCTCCAGTTGTCATTTCTAAGCAGACTCAGTTTGACGGTGCCTTCAGTGGTTCAGTTTTTACTGAAATGGGAAAGAAGTAGCAGGACAGAAATTAGGTTCACGGATCTTATGTTCATTTAAGTTGGTGTCATTGTACATACTCTGGTGCTGACAGGCGTTAAGACACATGTCAGGAGACAGCTTTAATGTCTATGCCCAGACATTGCACAAATGTACGCTTATACCTTAAACTCATGTCCTATTGATGCATACATGCCTTGGGAACTACATCGCCCAAAAGCCCCTTTGCTACACACAGTGTGTGGCAGGCTCTTGAGGGTCAAGGCAGCAGCATAGCTTTGCTGGGAAATAAATCAATGTATGCATGTGGAGAGGGAAAGAGAGGGGTACATTCAGTAATCCAGCAGTATGGCTGACAACACTGTTTGGTATTTTAGTCACTGGAGGGGAAGAAAAAACCAGCAGCTGGTTCAGCACTGTCATACAGGAGCTTGGAGGGAGTCCTCTTTAAGCCCTGATTAGAACAACTCAGAGATTACATAGGACTTCCATTAGATATGTAAGCACTGCTGGAGAAGGAACGACATCAAAGCAAAGACTGTAGCTTCACCTATAGCAGCCCCCGTTCCCTTAACCCCTTCATGACTGAGGCCCTTTTTTCAATTTTTGCACCCATGTTATATTCCACATTTTAGGCCTGAAAATGACGTAAAACCCCCCAACATTATATATTTTCTGAATGCCAAGACCCTATAGAATAAAATGGTGGTAGTTGAAAATTTTTATGTTGCGCAATATTAGCGCAACTCCATATTAAACCCCAAAATTTAGTGACAAATTTAATTAAATGCCCCAAAACACAACAAATTACCAATTTTTTAAATGAAATATAAAAGATGAGGTTACAACGAGTAAAACGATACCCAACATGCCCAGTTTACAGATTGCGTGCGACCGTGAAACGGCGAAAAACTGCAGTACCCCAAAAAGTCAATAAAAGACACTTTAAAAGCCCCCACAGGTCATCAATTTAGAAATACCCCAAAATACTGGCCCTAGGATTATTGCTCTCACTCCGGCGTGCGCGGCGATACCCAACATGTGTAGCGCGTTCGTCGTTTTCATGCGTAGGCGCACCCGACGCGTGTTTACGTGGCGACGCGCGTGCTCGCGGGGGCGGGGTACTTTTAAAATTTTTTTTTTATTATTATTAGATTTATTTTATTTCATTTTAATTTTAAAAACTGTTTTTTTTTTTTTTTTTACTTTACTTTGACTGCTATCACATGGGGGGGCTTGCAAGCCCCCCCATGTAATAGCAGATGGTGGTGACAGGTCCTCTTTAAGGTGATGCTGGGGGTCCAAAAGACCCTCAGTGTCACCTTTACACTGGAAATAAGCTATTGAAGTGCAGATCGCACTTCAATAGCTTATAGCTGGGCTGCAGGAGCCCAGAACTGACAGCCCAGGGACCGGAAGTGATGCAATCTGCATCGCTCCCGGTCCCATAGAACGGGGAGGGGATCGATGAACGGAAGTTCGTCGACCTCCTCCCCAGCTCCCCGCGGACACAAAGATCGCCGGTCCCGGGCCCGTAGGAGGGGCAACGGAGCCCGGGAAGCACGGCGGGGGTGTCCGGCGGGGGGGGCGGCCCCTTCTTCGGGACGCAGAAGCGATCTGGCGACAGGTAAGTCGTCAGGATCGCTTCTGTTGTAAAGCCGACAGTCGGCTCTACAAGTTTAAACAGAGTCCCGGCGGCAAAAGTCGCCGGGAGTCTGTTTAAACAGCCCCGATGCTGGCGACGTACACTGTACGTCGTCAGTCACGAAGGGGTTAATGCAAGCGAGCTCTGCCCCCAGGGCTTAATACACAGTGATATAGTTTCTTCCTAGCTGGCACAAGGGACTGAGGAAAAAGTACCTGTGGTCTTCAGGAGTATCAAGTAAGGACTGTAGTGCAGCTGGTTAGTATCTCATAACGAACTCCAGAAGCAGGAGGTGGTCCAGGCAGGTGCCAGACCAAGCATAATCCACGCTTAGGCAGAGGCCAGGGCAGGCAGCAGAGAATAGATTAATCCAGGAACAGGCTAGGGTCAAGGCAGGCTATGGTCAGAGTTAGGGCTCAAATGTTTAGAACAGGGCCAGTATAGACAGAACATTCAAAGAGACCAGAGCCCTGGGTTGGTGATGTTCAAATAGCCCTCCAACAGTGCCACCCGCCAATGAAGAGGAAGGAGTCGAGGCAGATTTAACAACCTGCTGCCCAACAATAAGGACATACGAGGGAGTGCCGCTGCTGGGAAATCAGATCAGAGGGGGCGTCACCAGCAGAGCAACTGACGCCTCGGCTGGGACTGAGAGTGCGGTGAAGTAGACCCGCAGAGGGACACAGACTGGTGGCGCAGTAGTGTCTCGTATGCTACTTACAGGAGTGAGCTACTACAATATTGACTTATTTTCCAACATGCTATGACATGCTGGAGGAGTAACCACACACAGGCCCTGTTTTTTTAATTATTACATATATGCCTTGCTGTTATACCCCTGAACAGTGCTGTTTCCTTTATTTAGTGGTATCGGTTAGGTTTAGCACAGTCTTTATCTAACCAGTTGCATGTTGTGGATTTAGGACAGTGAGAGCATGTGCCCACAAACAGAATATGAGAAAAATGTTGTAATCAAACTCAGTCCTATTATGCATTTTTTAAAAACTTAAAATGCCATTATTGCTTGGATTGACTACTTTTTCATGTTTGTAGTCTTAAAAAGCTTTCCCGTTTTTGTTCTTACTGTGTTGTGACTGCATAATAATGCCTGCATTTCTAATACAAAATCTAGGTTTACAGTGGACCTGTACTATGTCCATTCAGGGCAAAGTAACAGGTTCACTTTATAGCCCATCGCCTTCACTAGTTACTTTTACCATCCGTGCACACCCTCAAGCCTTGTTTGGCTACCAGAACCAAGTGAAAAAACACCCTTCTAAACTCCAAGTCGGTCAGGGAGGAGTTAACGCAGATCTACAGACCCTACCACCACTAGACGTACTGGCTAGTTTGGGCCGAGCCATTGACTGACAGATGAATGGGGCAGTGAGAGAGTGCAGTAAATTTGTGGGAAGCAGAGGCTATTTGTGTGAACCTGTTACATTGTCCTGAATTGGCATAGAAAAATTTCACTTCACAGTGGAAAATGGAAAGCCCTTCTGATTCCCTCTGTTCAACGTGTGAAGTCAGCTCCAGAAACCCACTGCTGGATCTTGTTAGCTTTTTCTTCAGCTGAATAAATACAACAAGATGTGAAAGGATTTGAACATTACTTGCAGAGCTTTCCACTTTTTTCACCCTTTTTGGTGTGTTACAGGTGTACATTCTAACTGTAAATATAAATGGAGATATACAACTATACAAAAAACAGTCTTTCAATTAAAAATTATAATTATCCTCTTCAACCTATTTCCTTCAGGGATTAAATTATAATATATTTAACATCTGTCCTCAGGTGGACTCCACAGTGAAGAAGCTGCAGGATAGATATAAAGGCCCCGAGCCCTCTGACCTAGTGGAACTTGTAGAAGGGGAACAGTTCTTTGCGGCATTCGAACAGGGACTAAAGCTGCATTCAGGTAAAATGTGTTTCAGCTATAGATTCTATCATTCTACCCTCCGTTTATTACACAGACCTACCTATGTGCTTATATATTGGTAGGAAAGCACAAACTGACACATATCATTAAAGCATATCTAAACCCAAAAACAAAAATGTATTATATTGCAGCTTTCCAGTCTTGAGATGTGCTGTGCTGTAAAGGTGAACAAACCCTTTAAGCCAGGGCTCAAAATTTCCACTCGCCCCCTCGCAATTGGCGAGTGAAAATTGCGTGGGGGCGAGTGGAAATCCAGGGGGGAGGGCTTCTGTCGCTCCGGCAGCGCCGATCGCTGTCTGTATTCTCTTCTCCTCCACCCGGAAGTTCGCCGCTAATGGGACCTGGCAGCGAGCTGCCGGGTGTAGGAGGAGGCGTGGCCAGAGCCGAGGGAGAAGCGGCCCGGCCGTCGGAGTCTGCGGTGCCGCTCCAAGAAGCTTTGGCGGCACAGGATGACATGGAGACCCAGGATGACATGGGACACAGGATGACATGGGGGCACAGGCTGACATGGGGGCACAGGATAACATGGCGGCACAGGATAACATGGGACACAGGATGACATGGGACACAGGATGACATGGGGGCACAGGATGACATGGGGGCACAGGATGACATTGGGGCACAGGATGACATTGGGGCACAGGATGACATGGGGGCACAGGATGACATGGGGGCACAGGATGACATGGGGGCACAG